TGAGGCAACAACAACTAAGCTTGGTGTGTGTTGCAGATTGTTTGATCGCAGTCCCAAAAGGCACATGGTTTCATAGAGACACTCGTTTGCCTTTATTTATGGTTATCCTGCAAGGTCAATAACCAAGGTACCTGAGAAAGTCCTTAATGGTGGTTTAATGATTTTGCTTAAATTATTCAATTGATATTTAAGATGGATAATGGAAATTCATTAATAATTCAACTCTGAATCTGTTTTAAATGTCAAAGCAAAGATACAGACATTCAGTGTTATTTAAGCCATATTTAAGTTAATATATGTATGTATGTATGTATGTATGTATGTGTAGCAAATTCTCAAAAGGGAATCATATTTATAAGTAATTATAACTGGGTTATAATTAATTATGAATATTTAGATCAGATCTTAGAATTAACTGTAGCAGAATCAATATTACAATGATTTAATCTGTTCGTCCACCGACAGTATAATTTATCAATTCTAGGAAATATTATTTTCCTGGCCAAGAAAGAATAACTTTCCTACTTCATACAGTACTAGCATTAACTTAGCATGTAGCAAGATCAACATTCAGTGAGCAGCACACAGAGGCAAACAATTGTGAATATAAGGGATTTAATAAATGAAACTACAGTATACAAGACTAAGCAAAACACATATATACAGAATGAAGGAAAGTAAGGTAAGAGAGAGAGAGAGAAGAACAAAGAATGGCAGTATTTAGCATCAATTAACAACAACCTAATGAGAATCATCAGAGAATCAAAAATCATCTTGACAAAACTTAGACCCAACTTTATACACGCATCTAACTAGTTGAAAAAGGTTACTTGCATTGGCTTTGTTGCTGAACAAGCGTCCGGATGCGGTAGACAATGGAGGTTCTTGATGAGTTCTGAGTGAGCTGGAAGCTTTCATCGAGTTCTAAAGATCGGAGAGTCCACAGCGAATCGACAAATGGCGCTTTTCCACTGCATGGTACGGCACGGTACGGCTCGGTACGGTTCACTTTTGGGGGGTTTTCCACTGGGTACAGTGTACCTGGTACCTGGTACTTTTTTTAGTACCACCTCGGTTGGGGTTCCAAGTGAACCGTACCGTTACCAAAACGTGACTCTCGTTGATAGCAGAGGAGCGGATCCAGCGAGAGCTTGATGGGGCGACGCGGAATGAAAAAATTTTTTTTAGGAGTCGTGGTAGTAGAGGTGGCGCAACTATAGACATGTGAATAATCCCCCGCCCTCTAAAACGGTACTGAACTGCAGTGGAAACGCAAACCGCGCACAAAGTTACTTGAAGATAAAAACTGCCGGAAAGTCAGACTCCAGGGTGATGAGTCTTGGAGAGTGTGTCTCAAAGGGTTTGAGCCATGATTGGTTTGGGTTAGGGACTTTTAAGGGTCTACCAGTCACACCCATCTTTGGCAGATTGACCAATGTAGAGGTATGAATTTTGAGCGGGAGAGGTTCCTTTGTCTCATGCAACACCTTATTTGCATGGTTTATGGTGGTCTGGAGGATTTGTCCAATATTAAGTCAAAGTATGGTAAAAAGAGCATGGTGCAAATTATGGTGACATAATATACACTATTAATCCCGGAATCGGAAGACGGTCATTTTGATACCTGGCATGTCAGGGATTGGGAAACATTAAGGCAGTAATACATTCATATGTCTATATCCAAGTAATTGGAGCTTCACTATACTACAGAGTTATAACTAAGCTACTATAACCTAGGAACATGCATACAACACAGGAATACACTATATACATTTTGGAACAGTTTGATTGTGAATAAATGGAGTCAATGTCCTTTCCTATGTGTATTGTGGCTTTTGAGTATGTCTGGGCCACGGTTAGTGGCTCCTCATGGGGATGGGGGAATCGTTCCTTCCCCCTGGAATCTCTTTGAAGCGCAAAGAAAAGGTTGACGACTGTCCCTTCTTGCGTTGGAGAAGATAGCAGAGGTGATAACGCTCTTTGAACCAGAGGTGGACGTTAGACATGCATCTGTAATTTAGTTATAACAAGGGAGGAGGGAAAGTTTACGATGCCTAAAACCTGATCAAACATATTGATTGCATTCAAACGCTACATATGTGTATACAGTGTATGTACAAACGGCTTGTATGCGTGGCCCCTTTAAAACTTGTTGCCCTTTTAAGAGTTGTTGCCCTTTTAAGACTTGTTGCCATTTTAAGATTGCGCAGCAAAGTTTGAGAGAAGAGATGCGAGCCGATCCAAATCCAGGTGTTAATATGTGTGCGTGCATCCTGTAAAGTGAGTTGTTCTTGTTAAATTATGCTTAATATTGAGATTAAGTTGTAATCTTGCCGGCATTGGCAGCTATGGTAATTATTTTCGATTGATTGAGCGTGCATAACCAGCGCCTGTTTACATGCACGTTATGTATATCTGCCGTGAAATTCTATAATCGCTTTATTTCTACTGTTCTCATGTTCTACGTTGAGATAGTTCATCTGTCTATTGTGAATTGCAAGTATACGTGTGTTAATGAAGATTGTGGTTAAATGGCCTATTCAGATGCTAATATGGCAATCCATTGAGCTGTAGCATTTCACTTATTTCCAGTAATATTGATAATGTCAAATTATTAGATTTGAAGTTTGTATTATTCACTTTATTGTATTTGTTATCTTTGTACAGACCACACCTATTACATGCTCCATAGCACAGTAAAGTCATCAAAGAAAGAACTGTTGTTGACTGAGTTCCTGGGTTCTGACCAGCCCACCAGGGCAAGTGATCCCTTCCACAGTCCTTTAAAGATAAACGCAAAATTTCCAAATCCTACAGTGTATATATATATATAACAAAATTATGTAATAAATTGTACTAAGCCAATAAAACCAATAAAGTGTTCCTTAATTTGTCCAAACAGATACAACCAAGTCTTATTTGAAATTAATTTTTAGCATGATTTTGCTAGTGATGGCTAAGACCTTCCAAACATCCATGCATAATAATTATTTTTTTTAACCTTAATGCAAATGTAAATTTCAGAATGCTATGCCATTTTTTATTTGATATATATGTAATACAAAAATAAAATCAAAGTGAATATCCAATAATTATTGATAAACACACTCACAGTTGTGCTGTTGTGCTCAGAATAAGTGAAGTTATTATTTTTCTTCAAAGGTGCGCCCACAGGTTTTCAGTAATATGTCACAAAATGAGCCTTGCTATTTTAGTCTAAGCTACACTCTTTGCAGCCTGCAATTCTTCATAAAAGCACTAAACAGAAAGGACCATCCACCAGTGAAGGTGAATGCCTATGTGATTGACAGCTCCTTTATACTTCACAAGAGAGAGAAAGATGAACTTTCCTGCAGACAGGAAAGGACCTAGAAACAGATCAAGAAGTAAGTTGCTGCTCAATTTTGGATCGATAATATCTAAAGGGAAAAGCCAACTGGGAGGCTCTTGAGAGGAAATAGCCCAGAGGAAGCAGGTAATAAAAAAAGACAAGTACTTTACACAATACAGAAGAGTGTGCTCTAATAACAGCCCCATCATTGCTGGCTTTGTATACTTTAAAGGGGATTGACGATTTCTAACATGAACACAGATTATATAAATTGGTTATGTTGTGATGCACTATAAATATATGGTCAATATATATATATATATATATATATGTATTTGTGAGAATGTCCCAAGTGAAAAGAGGCTTTTAAATGGAATTTGAAGGTTATAAAGTAATATGAGATCATGTGAGATGTAATCACCAGTGGGATTAATTGACCCAAATTTTGTGTCTAATGGACAATGGGCCTCATTCATGAAACACGAGCAGAACTAATTTTTGTGCCAAATTTTGTGTCTAATGGACAATGGGCCTCATTCATGAAACACGAGCAGAACTAATTTTTGTGTAAATCATTCAGAAAGTCGTTCTGACGTAAATTTTCGGATTCATGAAAATGTTCGTATTTTGAAAATGTTTGTTGGTACGAAAGAAATGTACACCTGCTCCCTGCCACGTGTAAATGGTGCATAAAACATTCAAACGTTCTGTATTCTTTTAGACAAACTGAGGACACTGCATTTTTATGCACTATGTATTATAATGATATTTAACAAGTTCATTTGCCCGGTCTTTTTTCGGTTTTTACTTTTTAACTTTTGGTAAAACGCAGAGCTCGTCACTGTCCTTTTTTACACAGCCGTCAAATCACATTGGAGGAGGGGCGGGACAACCACTACATTGACAAACCATCATACTTGTACAACACAACAATGGAGAAGTTAATATTGCTGGTTACTGCATTTTTATATTCAGTAATATTCTTCAAAATAAGATACTCGTAACATGTTACTGCCGTGAATATTCCAAATAATAGCAAACAACGCGTCACTCCAGAAAAATGCAGTGCCTCCAAAGCTCTCTCAAGCACCACCAGCTGGTTGTTTTCAGAAGAGCACCAGGCATTAGGCTATGTCAGCTGGCTAAAAACGCTCTGGTGGACACACGTTCATTTATTCATTTATTGTTAGGCATATAGCCTATTAGTCTCTTATGCATTTATGCAATATAACTTGCTAAACCTGAGAATTGAGTTGAAAGGATTCCACACCATTCCTAGATACGTAATTTATGTAGCTGTAATTCATATGCAGGGAATAGGCCTATGCTAATTGTGAAAGAGCGTGCATGCGCTCCCTATTTACGAATGGTTGGAATTCAATAACACACACATTTAACTATCAAATCTGACCTTTACAAAGTATTTGTGAATCCGGAGGAGGGTTTTCGGGAAGGTCCGTTTTACGCGTAAATTAATTAGAATTTATTCATATTACGAATGTTTCATGAATGAGGCCCAATGCCTGTATTGGGAGGAAATATTTCTCCTTTTCTTGTAGACCTAAAGATGTATGTTGTCTCTAATTTTGAGTCCAAGTCAAGTCCAAAGTCAGTTGCTCAAGTAAGTCTTAGTTCTCTGCACTTTCAGCAGTAGAGTTCGGGGCACAGTTTTCATAGTTTAAAGATGGCTACGCCATGAGTGGTTGGTTTGTCTTTGTATCTCTGCCGTTTGCTGAAGTCTTGCCTTGTCTCTCCCAGCCTTGACGGATACGGGTGACCTTGCTGTCCACGCATGGAGTGATCAGGATTAGCTTTAGAATCAGAACCACACAGGGGACCACAAGAGACAACATGTATGCTGGAGGCATCTACCACCTATATGATGAAGGTTTCAAAAATCTGTCCTAGCCATACAGAAATGTGTGAACAGTACAGAGCAGCAGGGTGATGTAGCCTAGTTTAGACTATAAAGGAATGAAGAAAAATCATCATCAAACATCATTGTCAATGTGTTTCTTTGATCATAGTTCAACATTAAAAACCTACTGGATACATTTGTTCTGATCAATACTGTGAATATATATACTAATGTAATGTAATAGATGTCTTTCAGCTATAACCAGACAAAAAAACATCATTGTCCATATTGTATAATATTTTCTAAACTAATTAGTAAAATATTCTCCAGTGACACTCAAACTGATGCATTTCTACAGACTGTCAGTGTAATACCTGTACAAAACGGAACTCCCTCCAGTTTAGGGAATTGCTCACAGATGGAAGGGATGTAATTCCTAGTAGGACAAACAGCCCAAATCCAAGAATTCCCATGGAATAGTAGGAGTCATAACGCCAGGCTGCCATGTTGTCAAACTCATAGGTTTTATTATCTTTTACCTGCAAAACACTACGAGTTAGTTTGTTAGTTTTACCTTTTAGTCAGTTTAAAATTTTTGTGTGTCTGTATGTGTGTGTGTGTGTCTTTGTTTTAATCTGGGCAGATGTGCACACCATTTTTACAGCTTTAATGTAGCCTGTAGTCAGGGATGGGCAGTATTTCAGATGTATTCAAAATACGTAATTGAAATACAAAATACTATTTTGTATTTTAAAGCCTTTGGCAAAAATCAAATGTAATTTGTATTCCAATAAATTTAAGATTAGTATTTTTGTATTTTCAAAATACATTAAATACTTTGTGCAAGTCAACCTCTTTATCAGGGTGCTGATTTAGTTCAGACACACACCCTCCCCCCAACCCTAACATTCATCAAGTGAGCTGCAGCTGTACAGTACAACTCCATTCAGCATTGGGTAAGGGACTTTTCTGGAATAAGATAAGGTGAGGATGTCATGGTCAATTGTACATGTTGATTAAAGTTAAAATAGTGCATCATTCAGATTTGCCTTCAGTTAACATGAACATGAAAGAGCACTGACAAGGGGAAACAGCGTTATCCAATCAGTTTTAATAGTTAATCGGTTGTTGTTTTTTATCAACTAGCTTTTCAAAGATGTTTAAAGAATTACTGCATGCTAGGGCTGGTTGTTATGACAATACATATCGTGGCGATGATATAAAGTGTGAATCGACTGAACATTTTCTAAATCGTTTACATAGATAGGCCTGTCGGTGTAAGCAAATATATTCGTGCAGCTTTTAGAGGGCAGGAATTATTGGAACATTGGTGTGGAAAAGGAAGCATGAATGAATGAGTGATAGAATGTGCTGTGCTTGGTGCAATTGCGCTTATTATAAGTGTATGTGTATGTGTCCTCTATACTTCTATGGCTCTCAATTGATTCAGTGGTTGGAGTTGGATTAATACTCCTTGACAAGTTCTGTTACTTTCTGAATATGTTTCTGGCTACATTTAAAATCAAAACATATTTATCGTTTAATAATTGTTGTAATGCTAAAATGTTTGTTTTCAACTTCTAAATAGGTGTCCAATGATTGATCAATAAATATTTGATTGCTAAATATTGTACCCTTATTGAAGTAGCTGTTTAGTAGGATCATGATTTTGCATACCATTGCATGAATGACTGCCTGACACATAATATATTATTATATTTATGATTAACAATCAAATGATTAATTAGTTAAAAACTAGTTGCTATGAATACAGGTGCCATCAGTTGTCTTCTTATGAATGACTTCTATGTCATTAAGTCAGTGTTGCTGATGCAAAGTAGGCCCTTCATTACCAAGCACCAAGTAACTAAATTAGGATACAACTATGTGTCATTCGCAAACTGTTAAACATTAAAATGTTGGTTACTTTAAAACTAACCTTCATCTGGGAGATCACAGGGATATGTGAATATTTGATCTGTTCACAGGTTGCATATGTCAGATTTATTGCATGACTTGGGCAGAGAAAAACTGTTGCTATCAAACATTGTCAGTGTAATGGTGAAGGGATAGATCAAATAGGCCAACTGATGGAAGGTTTGCAAAGAAATTTCATGCTCCATTGTAAACTTATTTTTTCGTATTTTTAAAATACAAAAATACAGTAATTTATTTCGATACTTAGTGTGGCTGCTGTATTTTGTATATTTTATATACGGTATTTTATTTTAAGATACATTTTGATGTATCTTTGCCCAACCCTGCCTGTAGTAAACTAGGAGCTGTAAAGTCATCAAACAGCATTTGCAACTCAATTTACTTTAGTAATGTGATGTTATTTATTAGTGAAACAGGATCTTAAAGGGGTCATATGATGCGATTTCAATTTTTCCTTTCTCTTTGGAGTGTTACAAGCTCTTGGTGCATAAAGAAGATCTGTAAAGTTGCAAAGACTAAAGTCTCAAATCCAAAGAGATATTCTTTATAAAAGTTAAGAGCTCATTCTAACACGCCCCCACATATCTACATCACTATGTGGGAAGATTTGCATAACGCCACCCAAATGTTCACGCAAAGAAAGAAGGCATAACTTTTATTCTGGCTGTAGTATTGTTGCTGCCGCCATGTTGTGAATGCGCTGTGTGATTCGTTGTGAAAGCGAAACTACTTTGTTTGGCCTTCCAAAAGAGGACGATATCTGCTTCGTCATGCCTGGAGCATCCGTGCTGGTTGCTGAGGAAATATTACAACTTCGTGCTGTGGATCGCCGGATCGGCTTTCACCGTGGACGAAGC